AAACAAACATGCTATTATATAAGTGCAGGCGTAGTTTTCAGCTGAGTTTTTTATGCTAATACTAATTAACAATGTGGAATATCGTCAGTCAAAACGAACATAATTAGTTCGACAAATTATTGCACAAATGATAACAATTAGGCCTGTCTAATTGAAACATGGGTAAAACGCATATTACTTTTGGGAAATTCTATTTTGACCTGGGTCAAAATGACCCTCACAAAATTTTAAGGTTAGTGCGGGCCAGAATTATATTGATATCAGCCAGGTTTTTTTAATATAAAAACTCGGTAGGCATTAACATAATTCTGGCCTGCACTAACCCTAAATTCTAGGAGGAGTCATTTTGACCTGGGTCAAAATAGAATTCCCCATTACTTTTTATTATATAATTCTTAATAAATTTAATTAAGTTGTTACAAGTAACATGTTACAATTAGACATAGCCTAATTTTTTATCATTATGTATAATAGTTTGTTGGGTCTCACTTTGGTTTTGATTGATGATGCCCTATGTTATCTATTTGTTTACAATAAGTTAGGTGTTTTTTTTTAAGCTACAGGTGGATATAAATCTATTAAGCCTAATTTTTTTGTTATTATAAATATGACTTGCATTCGATAAAAAAATACAGGAGAGCTGTATCAGATTTAGATCGTAACGTAATATGCATTACAAACGTTATATAATGTATTGTTCAAGATAAAGAAATGTTTTGAGGATAATTTTCTTTTTAGTTAAAATTAGCAGTGTAGCGGATCACAAGAATACGCAATATACTAAATAATGAACCAATGCGTATAGCTTTCAAGTAATAAATATTGAATGCCCAGATTGAAGAAATTTAAAATATGTATTTAATAAAGTAATTAATTTTTAAAATTAATAGATAATTAGAGTAAAAAGCGTTATTCGGTAATATATTATACTACTGGTAGTATGGGTAAATCCAATCCATTAACAATTAAATATATAGCTCTTGACATAAAATACTGTGTATTGGCCTAGTTGATACGACCCTATAAGTTAAGTTTAAACATATTTGGAACCAATACGTATTCATATTGTTGATCTGATTCAATATTTAATAATATTCTAGAATCAAATAAATTCTACATATAAAATATCGATAAATTAGTATAAGATAAAAACGGTACAATAAAATCTTTAAATTCCTGTAATTTGTATTTTTGGTGTAAATTTATGGTATTTGTCTAAAAATCTAGATTCCATTGCACATTAAGTTAGAAAAAAAAAATCAAAAAAATTAAATATTAATATTAGAATAAGTAAATATTCACCCTTTAATGCAACCTGATGGTTTATATTCTACAATATTAAATTAGGCCACATATAAAATTGATTAATAATCAAATCAGTATGAATAAAATAACTTTTAATTGTTAATTGCTAATCGGAATTTACCAGGAAAGCATAAACGTTTATATCGAAACTCTCTTCCTCGAGGACAATTTACGAGACCAGAATGGCTATACCCAATTTCCTCAAAATAACGGACCTGATGTTTCTTTAAGAAAAGGGCTGCAGCAATTGTATGGACTGGTGCATCTCCCCACCTATGTCACGATATATGGAACTTTTAACATTTTAATCCAAATAAGTACTAGCATATATATAATTAGCGCACTAACCGTTCATAATAAAATCCACCTTTTTTGTCAAGAAAATCAAAGAATTTTGTATATGCTTCACTTCTCCACAAACTAAAATCACCAATTTCAAATTTTGACCAAAATTGACACCTTAATTAACAATAAATTGTTAGATGGACATTTAATTGTAAATAAATAAAGGTTTGATCTGTAACTAATGAACTTACGTACAAATTATATGTTTCACCCTGATCATCTGTTATAAAATCAAATATACTATCATTTGTAATTAAATGCGGATATGTTCTAATAAATTCTTTGGTTGTATTCCATAATGTAGGTATAGTGTTTAAATTCTCGTATGGTACAAGAGTGAGCCCTACAACAAAATTTGTGTAAATTATACTTATTATTTAGCTAAATGAATCATTAAATTAAGAACATTATTGTCGGATATACAGTACCATACTTGATATCGTTTTTTTCATATAAATAAATGGATCAAAGTCAATATCGCAAAAAAAATCAACACCAGGTTCAACACGCCAATAATAATCATAACTTTTTAGCAACTCATGTTGATAGAAAAATCCAGAATAAAATCTAGATAAAATATCAATCTATTAATAATTAATTATTTTTTCTAGTGAAATCGCTTTTCCAAATTTGAAATTAGTTGCAATACAATTAATGTTTACCTGCACATATGATGATAAGAAAGAATATCCCCCGCCATCACCCCTTGGGTATTCATATATTCTATACTTTTATTATGACGTTCCACATCTATATGTTTTGGAATACTCCAATATTCTTTCGGAATCATCCCTATAATGAACAATAAAATATTTAACATTTTTGAGATAACAAAATAGCATCTTTAGATTTTATGAAGCATACGCTATACAATTAACTATTTCGATATATGGAGCAGAAACTCAACAATCCTTTTTAACTTTGCCAAATTTTTTTTGAATGAGTCCTTTAAGCTTTTAGAATCATGAATCCTTCAAGTTTTAAATAAATTTACAAATTTTTATGGAATTTTGTTAAGTTTTAGCTGTTATTGTTTAAAACTTTTAAAAAATTTAGAAACAATTTGATGAGTTTCTACTGACTTATCCCATATATTCTAAACTGCATTTACTAGTTGATAACACATTTTTTATTAATCTACTTACCGTAGCTGGTTTTT